GGGTACAGCTGGCTCTGCCTCTAGATAGGCAGAGCCAGCTGTCACTCACGCAGCTGGGCGGATCTCTACATCGATTTCGGGATCCGCTGAAGCGTCTCAGTATACCGTGAGCTGTAGCTCGCGGTATACTGAGCTTAGGGTAACGGGAGGATGCTAGTTTGTGTCCTCCCGTTACCCTAAGGAGAACTATGGGGAAAAGCCCTGACCCTATAGTTCTCCTTTAAACCTTGTAGAACTAGTAAACCTTGTACCATTATATAAGGCTGAGTTTCTGTACAGCTGTAGACATTATATTTACAGGTACTTTATGACAGCAAGTAACATTTTAATATTTTCTGCTGAGTACCTCAAGTTAATTTTGCTTTCTGTGTTCCTGTTAGGGAGATTCAACCCTCTATTTGTCTCACTAGTCATTATAACTAAAGGTGCCCTATCGACTATCGTTTGGAAATCGTCCACAAATGGTCTTTCATATGAATCGATCAGTTGATGGAAAACTAACTCTTTTTTTACTGTACTCCTGGCCGAATTTTCTCAAAGGGTGAGGCTGGAAAATGTTTTTCGAATTGTACAAAAATCGAAGGATTAGTGGCGTTTTCGTAAGAAAACAAATCGCAGCAAGAACACTGCACAAAAATCCGTTCTGTCGATTGACAAAATTCAGTGAGTTAGTATTGCTAACGAACGCTTATCAAAATGACATTGGTCTGTGCTTGATGGGCAATTTGAGCTAGAATCGAAAGAAGGTTCTTGGCAGCAACAAAAATTCCTGATCGAGCGTGAAAGTGGGGATCGCGGAGGGGGGGCTAAACAGATCAGGACCCCATACAAGTGATCCGCATCGATTGTATGTTAACAGGCATCGGTGCCTGTTTTTACATTTTGGGCTTTTCCCACTCGTGCGGCTGCGCGGCATGCACGAGGGGGCGTGTCTGAGCGGACAACTAAAGACGCCCGCTCAGATCTAGACAGCTCCCGGCCAGCCGTTGTTAGTGGGGGTCACGATTTTTCTCTCATTCCCTGTTGCATCTTAAGGACAGGACAAGAAGGGAAATCTCACTTGCAGTACACAGACTGTTAAAAAAAAATTAACCCGATGAAGGTTTTTAAACCTTCCCTATCTATTGAAACCTAAATTTAAATGTTTCAGCTTTACATATACTTTAACCCTTTCGCTACCAAGCCCTGTGTTCCACTTTTAACCTCAGCTGGCCACACTATTTTTGCAATTTTTCACCTTTTTCTTTGATTTTCAACTGCTGCTTTTAGAGTTTGTAAAAGACCCCCCAATCCATACATTTGCTAAAAGCACAGAACAAAAAGATGGTGCTGCCAATTTTGTAGGTCCTGCAATAATTGCGCAAATGTTTATCAAATCAATATTAAACCAATCAAAATACATAATTAAATCGATAAAAGCACACTAAAATCAGTATCAGCGCACATGCAGAAACATAATTTACAAGATTTCGACTAAATCTAAAAGATAAAACTGTATTGAGTTAATAACAAATATTTGCAAATTTTTATTGCTCCTTTTTGCAAAAAAGTAAAAAAAAGAACGCAAAACTGTAAATAAGCAACTTGTGTAAAAAATAGCTGACACTGTCCTTTCTTCAGGAGGGTGACTACTTTTGTTCTAGATGTTCCCTGTGTGTGTATTGTGAAGTAGCCAACGTTCCAAGCTCGCTCCTGTGATGAACTGCAATCTCAAGACAAATTAGTAAACTAAACATGAGATTATAGTCAATCACAGGAGTGAGCACGGGGCAGTGGCTACTTTACAATACACACAGGGACGATGGGGAACAAAAGTAGCCACCCTCCAGAAGGAAGGGCAGTGTCAGCATGAATTCAGAGATAATTTGAGGATCTACAGCCAAGTGATGCAGAAATAAGCTACATTTTTCTTAGTTGAGGTACTTAAATGCATTTTTAAGGTTTAACTCCTGAGTTTAGTGTCACTTTAACTGCCACACTTGGATTTCTGTCCAAGTATTTGATTTCTATAGTTTTTTCCAAGAAATATGCATACATCAGTATCATAGAGCAACAAGGGAACAGGTGTAGGAAACTAAGCATGCTGGGATTTTACCAATTGTGCATTGATATATTACTGGCAAACTAGAAATAAAATAACAGTTGCAAGCACTATTTACCAAATATATTTTATGACATTTCTGGATTCCATTATACATTAATTGGTTTAGGTTTGTGTTACCTTTCTAAAATCCCCAGTTTGGCGGAATTCACAGAGCATCATATCAAAAAAGATTGGAATTGTGGATTTACGTAATTCAGCTTCTGGTATAAGTGTCATTTCTAGAATTGGTCCAACCATTCCAGGAATGAAGCAGATCTTATTCTTATCTAATATGAGGTAATATAACAAAAATAAAACTGTAGCTTTATACAGCAATAACATATATATTTATATTTAATATATTTATCTAGCTTATGCTTTAAAGAAATATCTCACTATAACGTAAGCAGCAGAAATGACAATTATATTTAAAGCATATATTTCAAAAAGGCATGTTTATGAATTCTATTCTTAAAGGAGAACTATGAGGTGAGTGCTTTTCACTCACCTCATAGTTCTAGCCGACCTGTGACAATGAGACTGTCACAGGTCGGCTCAGTAGATCGGGAGGTGAGCGAACATATACCGGCGTTTGCTCACCTCTCGATCCTGTCACGGCTCTCTGCTGTGACAAGAGAGGGGGGCTGGATTCCCCCGCTCCAATCCACCAGCGCTGACTGGCGGTACGGACGGGGGAGGGGGCGGGTACAGCTGGCTCTGCCTCTAGATAGGCAGAGCCAGCTGTCACTCACGCAGCTGGGCGGATCTCTACATCGATGTCGGGATCCGCTGCAGCGTCTCAGTATACCGTGAGCTGTAGCTCGCGGTATACTGAGCTTAGGGTAACGGGAGGATGCTAGTTTGTGTCCTCCCGTTACCCTAAGGAGAACTATGGGGAAAAGCCCTGACCCTATAGTTCTCCTTTAAACCTTGTAGAACTAGTAAACCTTGTACCATTATATAAGGCTGAGTTTCTGTACAGCTGTAGACATTATATTTACAGGTACTTTATGACAGCAAGTAACATTTTAATATTTTCTGCTGAGTACCTCAAGTTAATTTTGCTTTCTGTGTTCCTGTTAGGGAGATTCAACCCTCTATTTGTCTCACTAGTCATTATAACTAAAGGTGCCCTATCGACTATCGTTTGGAAATCGTCCACAAATGGTCTTTCATATGAATCGATCAGTTGATGGAAAACTAACTCTTTTTTTACTGTACTCCTGGCCGAATTTTCTCAAAGGGTGAGGCTGGAAAATGTTTTTCGAATTGTACAAAAATCGAAGGATTAGTGGCGTTTTCGTAAGAAAACAAATCGCAGCAAGAACACTGCACAAAAATCCGTTCTGTCGATTGACAAAATTCAGTGAGTTAGTATTGCTAACGAACGCTTATCAAAATGACATTGGTCTGTGCTTGATGGGCAATTTGAGCTAGAATCGAAAGAAGGTTCTTGGCAGCAACAAAAATTCCTGATCGAGCGTGAAAGTGGGGATCGCGGAGGGGGGGCTAAACAGATCAGGACCCCATACAAGTGATCCGCATCGATTGTATGTTAACAGGCATCGGTGCCTGTTTTTACATTTTGGGCTTTTCCCACTCGTGCGGCTGCGCGGCATGCACGAGGGGGCGTGTCTGAGCGGACAACTAAAGACGCCCGCTCAGATCTAGACAGCTCCCGGCCAGCCGTTGTTAGTGGGGGTCACGATTTTTCTCTCATTCCCTGTTGCATCTTAAGGACAGGACAAGAAGGGAAATCTCACTTGCAGTACACAGACTGTTAAAAAAAAATTAACCCGATGAAGGTTTTTAAACCTTCCCTATCTATTGAAACCTAAATTTAAATGTTTCAGCTTTACATATACTTTAACCCTTTCGCTACCAAGCCCTGTGTTCCACTTTTAACCTCAGCTGGCCACACTATTTTTGCAATTTTTCACCTTTTTCTTTGATTTTCAACTGCTGCTTTTAGAGTTTGTAAAAGACCCCCCAATCCATACATTTGCTAAAAGCACAGAACAAAAAGATGGTGCTGCCAATTTTGTAGGTCCTGCAATAATTGCGCAAATGTTTATCAAATCAATATTAAACCAATCAAAATACATAATTAAATCGATAAAAGCACACTAAAATCAGTATCAGCGCACATGCAGAAACATAATTTACAAGATTTCGACTAAATCTAAAAGATAAAACTGTATTGAGTTAATAACAAATATTTGCAAATTTTTATTGCTCCTTTTTGCAAAAAAGTAAAAAAAAGAACGCAAAACTGTAAATAAGCAACTTGTGTAAAAAATCTGTGTTGTGATTTTGTTAATAATTATGGAAAGATCATTTGTAATCCAAAGGGATACATTTAGTAACGGTCTTCATACCCTTTCCATTGCACTTCCGCACGCACTACAAGCTTTCATACCCTCTACACTCCACTTCCATACCTACTACCCTGTTTCATACCCTCTGTAGTCTTTTCCTTTACATACTGCCCACTAAGACACTTCTTTAGCATTGTACATAATATCCCTAACCTTGCCCATTCTGGAACTGGTTAGCACACTCTTGCTAGTATATCATGATGTGAATGAGACTTGACACATTTTGTCACAAACATGGAATATTCTTTTTTTTGTCACACTTACCAAGTTTGTACCACATGTCACGAATTGCAAAGCCAATTAAACATCTCATGTCTTCATATCTGAACAGAATAAAAAGATGTATAATTAAATAATGTTTTACATACCCAGAGAGTTCTACCAGGCTTCTGGGGAACAATTTACTTATATGGTATGAATACATTTATAATAACACAAATGGTGAGCACTGGAGATAAGCAAAATTAGGGGATTTTGCTTTGATGAAAGTTGAGACATTTTTCTGAAATGTTACCATTTTGGAAAATGCATTGATGAATATATATATTTTTATTGTTTTGGGTGTTTAGGGGTGAAGTAAGCTTTGAATGGCTCACGAGGCTTGCAGAAGCTCCTTTAAACTATCTTAGACCTGTTCTTATATGAAAATATGCTAACCCTAACTGTAGTCATAATCTCAGCGCTAACCCCAATGGTAACCCTAATCCTAGTGCTAACCTTAATGCTAAACCTAACATTAATGCTAAACCTAACATTAAAGTTACCCTAACCGTAATCCTAACCCTTTGTTTACAATGTTATATGATTAGCATAGTTGCACTGTCCTGGTGATCACATAACTTTGCTGGTAAACAAAGACATTGATCAGCATAGTGATCACATGACTTTGTTTACCAAAATAGTAATTGATCGGCATGTCTGATTTGAGATGGGGATCACATGGCTTTGTGGATAAACAAAGTCATGTGAATGCCATGACAGTGCTGACATGGCAATCACATAGCTTTGTTGACAAATGTGATCGCTATGATAGCATTATCATAAAAATCACATAATTTTTTCGTGGTGATCACATGGCTTTTTTAATATAGAAATGTTTTGATCAGAATAGTGATCTTATGGCTTTGTTAATAAAGCAGGAAAATCAAGTTCAAGATGGTAAAGCATTCTGGTAGATAATACAATAATAAACCTGTATGTGTAATTACGGTAACTTTTATTTCAGTTAAAGGAATACTTGATAAACATCTAGGAGTTTGCCACCCTATATGCTTCTGGTAGGTAGAACCTATGGGCTAATAGGATAATAGGCACAGGAGACATAAAACTATGAGAACAATTTCATTTCCTGCTGTGTTCATTAGCAAATTTCAGTACCTGGGCTTTGGAGATGCTGCAGCACTATGCAAGGTATGTGAGCACACCCAAAGGCATTTCTAGGTGCCTGCTTAAGATCACTTATTTTAAGTGCTAGTTGTTAAGGGCATTAACCATACCATTAAATCAGAAGCCTGGTCAAGTCAGAGCAGTGGAAGACCAGTGCAAGATGGGTTCTGGTTGGTTGCCAGGGGTTAGTGCACTTAAGGATTACTACATAAAAAATAACACACATTGTTAAGTAAGGCTATATACAGTATTAATAACAGGCAACAATAGCAATACTTTTGCTATTATTGCAATACAATTATTTAAAAATTAAAACGTCAACACCTACTTGTCCAGTATTTCATTCTGTTTGTCATGGGAGAAATTCTCAAGCTGTAGGGAATCTTGGGTAATAAAAGCCACTGCCAGATGAAAATAGTTGTTCCAAAGCTGTTACAAATATAAAATGTTATTCAAATAAAAAAAAAGACAGGTAAAGGATTTAATATAACAAAGTTATTTTTTTATATATTTTAGGAAATACTGCAATGCCTTAGGAAAATATTCGCAAAGCTGTTTCAACACATCTTAAGATTTAGAAATAAATTATTATATGAATAACTTTGGTGAACTAAATATTTGTTAGGAAAATCAATCATTGTTATGAAATCAATGAAAAGATTATAACATTGTTTTACAGTTTTAAACACATACCTCTTACCTACCCGAATTCTGGAGGACTGTCCCAGGATTTGTACAAAATATCAGGGTCCTGAGGACCCAAGCCAAGGTACAGCCATGTTACAGTCCCACCACCAATGATTCCAGTGTTTAATCTCTTGCACAACATCTGCCACTAAAACTTTTAGCATATGGCATTTCTGATGCATGCATCTCCCCACAATACATTAGGTTCTCGTCGCTAGCCACTGTGTCAACTGTCATGTAACAGCTGGATGGTGGAACTGCAGAGTGCAGGGGGGAGATGCAGGCATCTGATTTACCTGGAAGTGTCAAATGCTAAAGATTTGTTTTACAATTATTGGTAGGTTTGCTGATCACTCTGGCAACCAGGTTCTTTCTCATTCTCACTAGATTTTTCAACAGATTGATCTCCCTACCCATGCCTGCATGGTTCCTGGACTCCTATCAGCACAGCCTATGCAAAGTCTTAATAGCAGCATCTCATTTGCTTTTACCACTAAGACAAATGATGATACCTGGAGTTGCAACCGACCATCACTGATTTAGGGGGACACTTCTCCACTGGCCACAAGTGGAATGGCCAACAATGCATTTGGGAACTTCCCCACTGGCCATCAGTGATAGAGGAGGACTTCTCCATTGACATACTAGTGTAAAAAGGGCACTTCACTGACCAACAATGTAACTGGTAATATTCTCACTGACCACCAGTGTAGCTGGGCGCTTCTATATTGACCAGTGTAAAAGAGGAATGTATTCACTGAAACCAGTGTAAAGGGACACATCTCCATTAACACCTGTATAATGTGTGGCATGTCTCCACAGATCAACAGTATAATGGAGCATATCTTCACCAACCATCAATGTGATGGAAAACGTCTGCATGAATCAACAATTCAATGAAACACTGCTCTACTGGACACCACTGAAACAGGAGCACTTGTTTACTAGTCGCCACTGACTGTACCAGGGCATTTCTCCACTGATTACCAATGTAAGAGCACTTCATTATTGGCCACTAACTAAACAGGCCACCCACTGAACGCCAATGTAAAAGTACTTCTCCTCTAACCACCTATATAATGGTGGGGTAGTTGGGGTCTTTTCAAAATGGATGGAGTGAACATGTGGCCTTGTTACACTCGTGGTCTGTGGAAATATGATTTGTTACATTGGTGTAAAAAGATTGTTTAAAAAGGTCCTCTTTATGGAGACGTTAGGGGTCTCTAGGACCCCTGTCACCTAGGGACCCCCAAACAATCTGATGAAGCAGAGATCTGCTTTATTAGCTTCGTCTCTGGCTATAGCAGCCAGAGAAATTATAGCTGAAGGCAGAAGTGATGTAATACACATCACTTCCGCCATCAGCTGCAGAGTCGCTTGAATGCTTGCATGGAACAGCAGGTACTGGCTGTTCAAAACTTTTGCGGGATTCTGCTTGCGAGTGCTAGGGGTGTGTGTGAGCAAAAAATAAAACAGACGTACAGGCACGTCCACCTACTGGGAAGAACTTGCCATCCATCCATTTATTTACAACGGGCAGACGGCAAGTAGTTAAGGGGGATATGATCACCATGTATAAATACATAAATGGTCCACAAAGTGAACTTGGCACAATATTATTCACTTCAAGGTCATGGAGAAAAAGAGGTTTAACCTCTGGAAAGGCTTCTACACAGTAAGAGCTGTGAAACAGACTCTCTCAGGAACTACTTCCAGCCACTTCAGTTGTTTTTATAAAAAGAGCTGGATGCATTCCTAAATGCACATAATATAATTGGCTATTAACATTTATAGGTAATAACACCAGAGATTTTTGATACAGGTAATATCTAATTGCCTTAGAGGATTAGGAATAATTTTTTCCCCCTATTTGCCTCTGGAAAAAAAAGTCTGACAATGACAGTTTGATAACAAAAGTACCATTTAGCTCCAACTTGGAAAGGTCCTAGCAGGCTTTAGTAGGCTTTAACACCACTTGAGACTTATTGAAAGCCTGCTGAAGTCTGCAAGCGGCTTTTTAGCAGTCACCACTATTATTAAGATCTGTGTTATCCTTATACTGGATCTGAAATTTTTTTACATTTTTTTTTCCCCTTAGATCTTTTTCTTCAACAAAGCAGGTCAAGCGCTGTGTGCTGATCCTATAGAACCTGAATCCCAGGGGAATACAAAAAATTGCAAACTATCATAAATAATCATTAATATCTCAATTTTAAAAAAAGTACCTGCACTTCAAAATTCATGTTATCAAGAAATTTCTGGTTCATGGTTCTGGCAAATTTGTCAATGGCTCTCAAAAATACCCTGGAAGAAAAAAAATATTATTGTGAAACATTGGAGTGATTCACTAAAGAAACACGTTTTTCTCTTAGCCAGGCTATCCTTAGCTGTTGTACTCAAAGAAAACAAAATCTTGAAATCAGTAGCTCAACCTCAGATGTACACACGCACACATATAAATATGTGAATGCAGTGACCTATATACCTATATACTCCCTTATAATATTTATTTAATAATTAGAAATTAAGAACTCTGTATTATCACAATTAGACACTTTGTTCTTAAAAAGAACCTGATATCATCTAAAAGCTGCCAAAGCATCCGTGCTATGCCATAGTAAGGACCTCCAGGTGTCCATATTGCAGTTTGGCTTTCTTAAGCTGAGTGTCCTGGGTGACCTGAATCCAAAATGATTTCTGTTTGCAAACTTTAATCAGTTCCTGTGATTGAGATCCTGAAACCGCTCCTTTGTGCCTCCTGTGCCTCACTATTTGAGACTCGCCATTACAGTGATTACCCCATAGAGAGTGGAGGGATAGGGTGGGGCCAAGTGACATGCAACAGCATAAGAATATTCATAATATACTGAGCAAAGGGGTGAATGGATTTAGAGAATTTATTGTGTGATTACCTCAATTCCAGAAACTAGGTGAGGAGCAGCAACAACAGCTCAAAAAGCAACAAACTGCAGCCCATCTTATTTTGCACAGGAACTATGAACAGTCAGACTGTTCCTGAAACAATTTTTCTGTACTAGACAGAAAGGTCTTACACATTCCACATAATTCTGGCTGTTGAGGCAATGTCCTTCAATTGTTTTCTGGCAAAGGGGTAAGGCAATTCATCCCTGCCTGTAGACATTTACTGATCCAACTTACATAAGGAACAAAACTTAAAGGTGCTGATTTATAAATTTGCGGCCCAGCGTATACCTGGGTGAAAGCTGTTCGCATGGCACTAATGCCACTAGATGGTGCTGAGGAGCTTAGAAATATCCTATGCTCCTCAGCTCCATCTAGTGGAGGTAGTGCCATGCAAACAGCATTCACCCAGCTGGGCGGAAGATTTATAAACCATTGGTTTATAAACCATTAATAAAGTGTTTGAAACCAATTAACTCCTATTATTATAATAATAAAGATTCACACTCTCTATGTGTCCTGGTGACCTTTATCACTAAAAGTGAAAGAAACTCACACATTTTAGCTTGCCATCAGAATAGGAATAGATGGGAAATCTTCCAATGGGAACACTAGCTCTGGTGACCCTGCAGACCACCACCACACCACCTCTCTTTGCAAGCATTTCCTCTTACTTCCTGTTGTGGCTATTAGACAGGAAATTAAGGGAAATCTACCCAATGGGGCAGAGAAAAAATGTTTACAGGGGTTTTGACACTCCCTTACTCTATCCAAAATGAAAAATAGAGTTTTGGCTATAGTTCTGCTTGAATACCAACAATCAGTTAGTTTAATTGATATGTCACCACAACACGAAGCATGGTAGAAATCTGCACACCAATGAGGCGTTCCTGAGGTTACGGAGTCAATTAAGTTTAAACTTAACACTTTGGGGCGTATATACTCCTGAATATAAAAAAATTAAACAAGTGCATTTGCCCAGAGATGAGCTTTACTGACAGCCATTTCTACCAATACTGAATCTAAAATATATCAAACTAAAGATGTATTTTATAGAACTCTTCTGTAAGTAAAAAGAAATCAGTGTATGAAATGAATTTAAAAAAACAGGTTTTTAAAATTCTAACAATATTACCTGTTCTGAACCATGCTCATTGTTATCCAGTCTGAAGGATAAACATTCTTTCCAATCAGGTCTTTAAACATGATATATGTTTCCATTAGAAAATCCTGAAAGAGAAAACACTTTACATAAAAAGGAAGAAAGGAAACTGTTACAGAGATCACTAACGCTGGGGCTCCTCTGCACATATTAGGAGCCTATCTGTCAAATGGACAGTGCATTCTAGAAGATGCACTCAAGGGAATACTTACAGTATATGCGGTGTGGGGGGGGTGTGTGGGGGGGGGGGGGGGCTGGAATGGTAAGATGTTCTAGTTATGCCTTTTGGCCTTAACTAAAATCTTGTAGCATGCCAATGATCCTTAAATGATTAATGCAGGACTTACCAGTAAGTCTGAGCTTGACTGAAATATTTCAATGTAGTGAGTGTAATGCTGGTCATCCATCTGGTCCAAAATTGCCGTCATGCATGCCACAAAATGACTCTGAAAATGTAAAAAAGGAAAATGAATAAGGAACACATAATTTCAGGTTGCATGCTGTTGGAAAGAACTGAGACTATAACTCCGGAAGACCTCTTCATCATAAGTATAAAGACAATATAAAATAAGTTAGGGTATTGACATGGACCTATACCTATTCTTACATGCCAGCGAACATGCAATATGGTACAAAGACAACACTTTAGAGCAGTGGGAATAAGGGACAGGGCTTTTTTTTTTAAGCAAATAAAAGAATTTTGTAGTTGGAAAGCATACTTGTATAGGACTATCCTCAACACAAGAAGCAGGTAAAATTGTTTCCATAGATTAGATATTTGCTAAATTTTTGGTAGATATATAACAAGCAACAACTTTCTAGAAAATGCTACATTTTAAACATAGCCCGAGACACGGCCAGTATGAAGAAAAAAACAATTCTGGATCAATATCTCCTCAAACGACCCCAATAACGAAAAATGACCTACAGGTCATTAATTTGAGTCCATATGAATTTACAGAGACGCAGTTAAGATTGATCTCGAGGGGTTTAACCTTCTGCCCCGAGGCACCACCGCACAGGTTCGAAATCATCAAGGATGTTAACCTTTTCGCAATAAATGAATTTTCTAATTAAATTTACATGTTATACCTGTCTACTAAACCAACTCTGAGAAAGGGATTTCTTAATTAGGGGATATTCCGATTTTTGATACATTTTAAACATAATAAAGCATACAGACCTGTGGTTAACCTGTAAGCATGACTTAGCATCAATCTTTCTGACTAAACTAACTAACCGGCAGTTCAGTGTGTATGTATGTATGAATGAATATGATATATATATATATACCACAGCCTTATTCAATCAGATGTAGTGGCTGCATTCGTTTTCTTTTTTTTAGGCAGCTGTTAATCTTGCCAGAAATGCAATGTCCTTGTCATTTCCTGTGAGCTTGCTTAGAGAAGAATTATATTAAACTTCAAACTTTTTAAAAAAAAATTGAATCCAGATAAAGCAAATATGCATTGCCCAGCAAAGTATATCTTTAAATTTTTGCCCGAGCAATTACGGTCATCATATTGCTCCAACTCTCTCAGCTCTACTTCTCTGAACTTCCTGTCCAGTACAAGATCACAAGGGATGAGCAGTCTCCAGCAGCTCTTCATTTACTAGTTTGTAGAAGGGGAGGATGGAGGAACAGGGAGAAGGGGGGTGTCTTGCCTTGGTGTGCCTGTGTGTTTTTGAAGAAACACACAGCTTACTAACACACACAAGGGTGACTAAATAGGACCCTGCATGGGAAAGGAGCCACCCTAAAACAGGGTATCAGGACCAGTGCTCAGGGGCCCAGCTGATTCTGCAGAAAGCTGAAACTTTAAATAATCAAGGAACAGCATCCATTGTAAGTGATTTAATCTGCATTTGAAGTAGTTTTAAGACTTTATTTTACAGAATTTATTTTGGCCCAGGATTCATGCAGATGAAAAGGACTATTGTGAGCCTTGTCCTAACTATCAAATATCAGCCCCTATGCCCTACATCCGCAGCCCGCTGGTATCTTTTGTGCGAATTGCAATGGACCAGATAAGATGTTCCTTCAAGGATCACTTCCTCCAAAACCTGAGAGATGTTTCCCATGTTTACTCAAAGAAGAATCCCGGTGTAAAGATAGAAGTAATGTGTTAGGTGGTGTATGTGACTTTAGGTATGTATGTGGTTACTGTAAGCTGTAGCTTTCATTCAATGAACTGTCCTTTGTCTGCTTTTCCTTTCCCTTTGTCCATTTATAGACCATTTTGTTTACTGTGAACCCATTTACAGAATAAGATGCATTCCATGAATGCTCTAGGAGAGAGAATAGTAGAGAAACAAAACTACTGCTTCTGTGTATGAGAGCCTGCAGTCGTCAGAGCCACTCTCATTATGCTTCTGATCTCAATAAGTGTAAATATTACAGTAACCAGTAACATACTTAAAGTGACATATGTCTCTTAAAACTTAATTTATATTTACACTATTTACATTACAGATTTGTTTTAAATACCGGGAGTACTGCTTTACAGAGACAGCACAAATGTATGTACCACACTTGTCTCACTTCTCTGACTGTAACTGTAAACTAAGGCATATGATAAGGTAAAAGTACCTACGGAGTTATCTCTCTTATGTATGCAAATTTCATCCTGAGATATTGAATTTTGTAAGCTTTACAGTAAAGTGAGAGCCTGAAGAACTTGTATTGTCTATATTATACTACAGATTTTTTTTTTAACTCTGGCGTTCCGTTTTAACTAACCAATAGTGCTTAGGAAATCCTTTGTCATGTAATAAATCTTTGTTAAACAAAGAATGCATATAAATAGCTAAAACAGATTTGAAACAACTCTATATAGTCTTCACAAACAACAAAAATAAAAGTGGTCCTAACCATATGTTATTGTAATACATATGGTATTGGTCTACTTACAGTTAGTTCCTGATCTCTTTCCATCATTATTACTGTCCTGTTTACTGTTCGCAGGAGTTGCTCAGTTATTTCTTGAATGTGATGATAAGTTGTTTTCTGTTGAAAATGATTTTTTAAAAATATATTTTGCAATATCTAATGATCAGTATATTTACAGGATATACAATACATTATTGTTGCATAAGTGTCAAAATATGATATCACAAACACACATTTTATTGGATGTCAGTGTCATTATCATTTTACAATACCTAGTACTGTAAGAAACCCAGGTTAACCAGACTAAAACAGGATAGACCCTTTGCCTGGCCATGAACTCCAGCTCTTCATGGGGAATTCTAAGGCTCTCATAGACAAGCTAGAAGATATAATTCTGTGAGCATGTTCTGGCTGTGCAATCTTTTTGTTTTCTTCATTACAGCCTTGTTGTAAAACTTCAGCCCCAGTAATGACTTCTGTATTGTCTAAGGATTCCAGTATTACCTTTGGATGAGGAAGGCACATCCACTGCACTTAAGATTTCCTTAAAGGAAACCTGCAATATAGAAAACTGTGAGCCACCATTGCTCACTTGTTTGTTAAATGTGTGTTCCATGGCTGCCATACTGATCTCATTCTGTTCACTTTACCATATACCAGTCCAAACAAGCATGTGAGTAATATGTTTTTTGACATCTACTCAATAATTTTTCTTCATGGCCTCCAGAAATACACAAATTTCTAAATGTTCTAAATTTCTAAATGAGAGCCCATTTTTAAAGCTTGCTGGTACTTTTCTTCTGATCCCCCTCTGCCGTCATTCACAGTTTGCTAAAAATGTTTAATTGCAGAACCAATGTTGTATGTGAAAGTAGAACACACAATATTTTCCACCATAAACTGATGGCCCTTGCCTTTCAGCAATGTAATATTGCAATTCCCAATAACCATTGGCCATACCTGATGTCTGGATATTTCCACCATTGTATAAAACATGGCAACCAAAACCCACAAATTATCCTGCAGATGGTGGGCCCAGTGAATAGGTCTCCAATCTCCTGGGGAGTTTCATAGGTAGTGCATCCACTAGCCACTCGCTTGCACAGCCCCCCAATAGGTTTGGCCCCAGTGGATGTCCTAACAACCTGTGTATCAGGTGGGTGCATGTAAATGAAGATCATTGTCTGTGATCTTCACACAGAACTGTCCACAAAGGGGAGCCACATCTAAAGTTCAGGCTCCAAGAAGGCATGATAGCCATTCCACAAAGATGACAGGCTTCTGTGGGATCATCTTAAAATGTTTCCTTATGCAATGTTTGAACAGAATGGTTTAATAAATCCTTTATATAAATTAAATATATTAATAAATAAACAAACATTCCTTACGCCCCCCACCCCCGGTTGTAAATCCAACTTCATGGGACACAGGACACGATGATCCTTGCCACAATACTCTTCTCCCGCTGATAATCTCATCGCGAATGTAAGCCCTGTGGACGAACAGAAACTAAAAACAAGCTCAGTCATGAAGGGGTTAATGTCAACAAACCAGCTGGGTACACTGTGTGATATCATTGACCAAAAATGGTCATGCCTATATATGGTCAATGACATCAGCCCTGGCCAGTTTGTTGACATTTAGCAGCCTGTCGGAAAGCTATCAATTGTGACAGGAATAGCATCGGGTTCAGCACTGGGAGAAGTAGCAGCAGTATTGGTGTTGTTCATTATAATTAAGATTGGGTCTATATTGCTGGATGATGTGATTGATTTTGGATTTACAGTGGGGACAATGTTTTTTTTAATTTTTTTAATAAATAACTTTTTCACAGTGTCTGTGTATTTATTTCCTATTTTACTTTTGTATAAATGAG